TATAATATATTTTAATTATATTTTAAAAATACATTCTAAATTAATTTTAAAATATTTTCCTTTATTATACCTAATATTATGCTAAATGATATACATTTACTCTTAAAAAATTTAATTTACTTTTATAAAATAAATAATTAATTTGGAATTAACTTATACAAGGTTTATACCTATACTATCCATACTCAATGCTATTATTTAGAAATATTATAATATAATAAAATATCCATTCTGCACATATTATTATGTATTAAAACACTGACTTTTGGATTAAGAATTTGATGTTTTGAGTTTTTTTCTATTATATTGGGAATTGAGATGTCTAACATTATACTTTGGTTAAATAACACATAGTTTAATAATATTATACTCTTCAAAATAAAATAAAATTATTTATGTCAAATTAATAGTTTATGGAATAAGAAATCCAAACAATCAAATAAATTAAGTTTTTAAAAGGGTTATATGAATACAAAGAAATCAACTCAAACGATATCAACATAAGAAAACATGTCTATTTATTATAATAAATATAATACAGAAATAATTCAGTAAAATAATAAGCATACAAGTATATTATATAATATAATATCTTTATATTTTTAATTTTTATATACGAGGTTGGGGAAAATCAAGTAAAATTAAGATTCAGTCCCACTGAGAAAACTCAAAAGAATAAAATAAATGAAACAAATAACAAAGTGAAGTATTTATTTTCATAAATCAATTTTAATTTAAATATACTATTGATATATATATATATCAATAGTTAACTAAACTTTTAACTTAATTAAAATTCAAAAATACAAAATATCATTTTAGTTATAAAATCATTTATACTTTTGACTGTACATTTTTTTGATGGCGTTTTTATTAATAACCTAAATTATATTGTTTTACATGTCTTCCTTGACACATATCTACTTTAACTTACATAGCCTTATAAGTTTTTAATTCTATACCATAATAACCTAACAATAGTAGTATTTATAATATAACTATGCATTAGAGATGGATTGCTGCTTTTTTTCTTCGCGGAATTTGGCATTAGCCATGTACATTTTTAATGGACCAACAATTTCAAGATCTGTACAGTTTCTATGTTTTGGTATGTTTCTTATAGTTGCTGAAATATATGAAATATTTATTTTTTTTAATTGTATAACATCAAGAGAACATGAATTATTTTAATATAGTCTACCAAATATTAATGAACAAGAATTGAGCACGGAAAACACATTTTTCTTTTTTTGTCCGATATAAGAATGCACAGAGAGTATATTATTATGAAAAACTTTGGCCATTATTTGTCTTGTCATATCAGCTACCTTTGGACGTTCCAATCTGGATAGATAATTTATCTGAAAATGGTTTAAGAGTATAAATATTTAGTTTAATAAAATATATCATGAACTTAGTTGTTTTGTTAATGAATATTTTAGTCAGCTCTAAGGGTATTGAAACCTATTCCCATAATATATTAAACAATGTATAGTGTGAATAAAACAAATATTTCATGAATTGTAAGTTAATGCATTGTAAGTAAGCAAATGTATACTTGCCTCAGACTTCTGCTCGTAAATACTCAGCAGTTTCTCCCACATTTCCAATGCAGTCTCACAGTTAATCAAATATTGTAATGGACCATCGTCCACTGAGGTAACTGTTATTTTCTGACATTTACCGTCCGCTTTAAGCCAAGCGTTTGTATGACTTTGCCAACGTGCTTTGGCATCCTCGTCGGACTCTGTTGCCAACTTCTTTATAGGTATACCTGGTTTCGTCCGTTCACCTGAAACTATCTCACTTCCAAGGTATTTAGAATGATCTTCATCTGGAATTTCCATAACGGCCAGTTTTCCGCACATAATTTTGTTATTTTGACCATGTCTTCAATGACCGATGGTTTCCCGTATACTTCCCTATATAATATTTTATCAACAGAAATTACCAATGTACACTGTTCCACTATCCAGTTTATCTCCGACTGGTTGTAGTTTTCTGCGTTAATACAAATATATAAATACTTCGATCACGAATCCACTAGACTATATTGTCTAGGTTATTGTAGTACTGGGCTATTGTACTGGGCCCATAACCTGTTGAAAGTGAAGCTTGACGGACTAATGATTTTAGCATTAATATAATAAGTAATAACACGACATATGATTATGTATAAGTATAATAAATAATAACATACAACTGGACAATTAAACTGTGAATATACACACACACCGCTTACACTCAGTAAGACAGCGTCTGTGCAAGTGATTATTACATACATCAAAAGCCATATTTATATGAACAATCAAGGCCATCCCGTATCTGTATATAATATAGAATGCGATAGTAAATGTGTTGCACAGCTATATCGTAACTGCATAAGTATCTATTAGAAAACGACATTGTACACGCACGTGTGTTTACATGGTTTGAATACTAATATTAATTGTACATTTCAACATAAACATTGAAAATTAACAAAAATAGATGAAAAATAGTGGACCTCTTGGTGTTTGTACGTGTTTGGTAGTGACCTAAACAACAAAAACACTGCGATAAGCAAATGCCGCCTTCTCGCTACTCTCGGTAACCGGACCAGTTCGTGCCCGCACCTGTTGCCGGTGCCACGCGACGTGAATATTGTCGTTTCTTTTTGTTGCTCTCTATTCCATGTATTTATTGTGCGTTGAGTCTCGTAAAACCCATCACCGTCAAAGTCAGCTTCCTATCCATCACCGTCGTTCAGCCACTGTCACCGAGGTCAACGCGTTACCACGGGCATTGTCTGCATACGTCTTTGTTAAAAAACTTTATTATAATTTTTTTTGTGTTATTTTTATTCATCATCCCCGACGAATCAGCCAGATTTGCCAGTCCCTGTGTACCCCTTTACCTGTACCTTAAATTTGTTTTGTTTTGAATTTTTAAATATTGTAGTCCGCTGCTCACGGCAAAAATCAAAAATACCGTTATTACCATTTATTTACACAATACAGTCCACTAACTTAAGCTGAGCTAACAGTACGTAAGTGTATGATTTCACTCTAAAGTATAAAAGTTATAACAAGTTTGTTGTATTCCACCTATGGTGGATTAACATAATCAGTTAATACAAAATATTAACAGTAGTAATGTCAGACGAATAAAACAAAAACTTTAAAAAAATTTTTTAATTAGCCTGTCTTTTTCCTGGAAGTCTAATCTACACACAAACATTCGTTTACTTTACATATATTGTCACAAAACAAAAAAAAAATCAAAAACATTCCCGATTAACCAATAGCGACTAATATAAATTATAATACACTGTTGCGCCAAGTGTTGTATTTTTTTCATCCAGATTTCCTACTTTTCCATTGGATTTTCCTAAAACTTGCTATCGTTCCAATCTTCTCCAGGCAATTATGAACATCTTAGAAACAAATTGAGCCAAATCGGTAAGGCCGTTCTTGATTTTTAGCGAGACAAACCAACAGCAATTCATTTTTATATATTTGGAAAATTATATGTATCAATAATTTAATGATTTTAATTGGATACGATATTCTATGTCTATATTAAATATGTTATTATATCATGTTAAGCATTAAAATTTTAATTTTTAAATATTCAATAATTAATTATAAATTATTATTATTATTACATTTTTTCATATTGAATTGACTGCTCATTTCGGCAAACCGTATAATTTTGGTGAACCGTTGGCAGCATTTAAAATCTCCGATGCAACTCTTATAGCTACGCCTATAAAGATTTAAGCTCAAAATAAAAAGTGTCAATATTTAATTAGTTATAGTTTGTCGTTAGGGTTACCAACTTAATCAGTTTTTAAATATATTGAAGTTATTCTATTGTCGGGTTACTTTATCGGTTTTTAACTATTAAATTATGTTAGTATTAAAAATCACGTATTTCTATTTACAACATTTTAAATAACTGAAGTTGCTAAAGATGAACACGAACGGCCGATATATACTTTCCATTTTTTCGTGTTTAAAATAATGTAGATGTTTATTTCTAATTAAAAAAATCCACATTAAATATAATAATATAATAAACATAACATACAATATACATTCTTACGTATATTTCGACAACCTCATTACTACCACTAATGTAAATTTAATAACATTTTTTTTTTTTTTAATTTTACAGAATTTTAGGTACGTTACGTATTTACTATCAAACATATATTCAAAGATATCGAAGGCGAGCAAAGGTCGAAAGCTGTGGAAGATCTTCTCTGACTTTCAGTCAGACGTTGTCGGACATTGAACTATAATGTGCGCCGTGCAGAGGTCGCTACGTAACAAGTAACACTAAGCTGAATATCATTACAACCAGACATTCAGTTCGGCCACTTTGGCCATTATCGCGGACAAAATTTAACGACGAAACCTGGCATTCTGACCGCGTCAACCATCAACCTTAGTTTAGAGTCTATGACCCATCTGACGACGGATCAGATCAGCTTTCCGACCGCTGTTCACTGGGAACGAGGCAGTCGTGTACACCATTGTAAGCCGGGTACATAACTTGGCGAACCAGGTTATACGTTGCGTGGTGCACTCGGTACTAACTTAATATCTAAAAACTATACCTTGAGAAAAAATTTAAGAGCCATACACGGGGTAGTAAAAATACCATATAAGGTGGACAGTTTTCTATCCGTACCAAATTTAATCTGCTGTAGGTGCAGCACACCAACAGCACAACCTTCGGCCAATCAAGAAGCCACCTTCTGAAAGCCGCAAAACTTCCCTTGGTGCGTTTTTTCACGGACGTTCCTTCTCTCTGGTCCCCGCTGTTGCTATCAGCTGACAAGGCCTCCTGTCGTACTGATCTTGTTTCAACTACGTTTTCGATTTATTTTGACTGTGGTGGCAATATCCTAGAGCAGAAATCTGGCAGGTCGTAATGACGATCGGCCGTGGTAAATAGACAGCGAACACGAAGTTCAGCGTCCGCCGGACGGCCGCCACTCGCAGGGCTTCGTTTCAAGCGTTCCAGAGAAATACTCTACCATAATGCATTACCACGTTCTTGTTTCTACTTGATACTACCTGCATCGTCGTATTGTTCTCCACACGGACGACATTTTTTCCAGTTATCTCAAATCTTCCAGGTTTACGTCTTTGAACTGAGGGCTGCAGAGCACTTTGTAAACAACGTGCAGATTCGACCGTGTCGCCCACGGTTTGTAACAATGCTAGTTTGTTCGGTGTTAAATGAATATCGTTGATGTCTGCGATATGTTGTTCTGCGTTTATGCACAAATCCAAATCGGTTGAGATTATGTTATTTTCTTGAAAATTGTCCATCGCAATAAATATTAAATCAAACTTGACGTGTAGATATAATAATAACTTAATGACACTAGTAAATCGGATTATCAAATAACAATGAGATGACGACTAAATAGATTTTCGTGGCAACGAAATATAATAATATTATACGGCCAACAAATTATTATTTTTCCTTCATATACGTTATAGGTACTTATATAATATGAATATAAAACAAAAAAAGGTGCTCTGCTGTACAGTAGGTTGCAAGTGGGTCACTGTATAATGGCAAGTATTAAATTTGAATTCAATGATATAATATCATTGTATAAGAAAAACGATTCTGAGGGGACACGGTATGTCAGTCTAGGTATAAGGCATATTATATTCTTAGGTACCTATGGTATTATTATATTACTTTGTTATTATAAAATTTAAAAAGGTGTTTTGCTGTACAGTAGGTTACAAGTAGTTCACTGTATAATGGATGGTATTAAATTTGAATATGATATCATTGTATAAAAAAAACGATTCTGAGCGGAGACGGTATGTCAGTCTAGGTATAAGACATATTTATGGTATTAAAAAAAAAAATTTACCTATAATAGATACCTATAATAAATTCTAAATTAAACATACCACAATATCCATTAGGTACTTATAACGCGTTATACATCAACAACAAACCTGGATACTATCATAGATATATAATAGTGTACTTTAGAAATTTCAAGTACCCACGAATAATATTATACAATCACAACGAAATAACTAAAATAGTTAGGTATTCTAGGTTTTTTTTATATAATTTCATCCAAATTTGAACTTAAAATGACTATAAAAATGAACTGTGCGTATGTATTTTTTAGATTTTTTGGTAACAGAATTAGCTACTTACATGAAATCTTGTTTTAAATTTTCAACCCTTAGATATAAAAGTTGAACATTTTATAAATTATTAACTACAAAATAATTATTCAATGTTATATTTGATAAATTTTGTCAACATTTGATCTTTAAATGCTTATAAAATAAATTGTGCCAATGTATTTTTAATATTTTTCAGCTGATTTTGTAAAAATATAACAGGGGCCTTGTATTAAATTTTTACACTTTTTCGCACAACAGATAAAACTTTATTAATATTTATAGAAAAAGAAACTAAAAAAATTGAAAACTGAAAATGTCCGTAAACAGCTCAAAAAGAGTCAAAATATTTTCAAAACTGTATAGTGTATAGGAAATGTTAATATGAACATTCAGTGAAATTTTCATGTATCTACAGTTATTCGTTTTTCAATTACAACAAAATAAGGAAATCGCTACATCTACATGGGAAATCGAGTGAATATCTATTGTAAAAATTTGAATTCATAAATAAATAAATACATAAAAGTTTAATTTGACTTTCCGGTAGAGATTTTTTTATTGATGAAGGCAGATAAACTTAAAAGTGATCTTGTATTACATTTTGAAATCTTAGATTTAAAAAGAAAAAATTTTTACGAATTATTAACTTAAAATAATTTGCTAATTTTCGTGGTTTTTCCATATTTCGTAAATTTTTGAACTTTAAATGCTTATAAACAAAAAATTGTGACTAAGGATTTTTAATAATTTTCATCTGCCTTTGATACAATATACTAGGAGCCTTATGTAGTATGGAACACGACAGACGTTCCACAACATTGAGGCCGACACGACCGCTAAAACGACATAACCGTTTTGTGTGAGGAAAATATTTGTGCATAAGTTTCCGAGAGCCATGGTATAAACTATAATACGTATAACCAGAGTATAAATAAATTGTATTCAACCAACGCCGTTATTTGTATGCTATAATAATAGGATTTCTATGTGAGTAAAAATTAATAAAATGAAATCTATCGGCGGCCGAGTTAATCGATATTTACAATTATTATTATTTTACGAGAGTGTAAGTTATAAAATTATAAAAACATCGCGTGACATGTGCACGCACACCGATATTGGTGGCCGTAAGAGGAGGTGCCGGAAGAAGAGTTTGCCGACGTCGATGCAATAACGGTATAACAATACGATAAAGTACCCGAGTCGTTATTATTCCGCCACGCGGACACCGATAATTACACATTGTTTTTGGCGCAACACATGTTCGCCCTTTAATTTTTAAACGGTCGTAGCCCCAAAAAACCCTTTTCGGCGTAAAACGGTTTGATATTACACGCGCTGCAGCAGTGTCCCGGGAAGGGTTGCCGAACGGTTTTTCTAATTTCCTTTCGCGGACGATAACAACTCGACTGAGGGGGAGGGGGTGTCGCTATATATTGACGACCGTGTCTATTAATTGCTTTTGCTATTGTACTCGAGGTGAATAATGCGTTATATAATAGGCTCGAATCACCAACTTGTAAACGGATTTAATACGTAATAATATAAGGTGGCTCGCTAGACCAAAAGTATATAAATTGCGAATATCCCACGAAGTCGGTGACTTTTAATAAATATATAATCACGCAGTATCATTTTTGACAATACTTCATGCGCGAGGGGGTGAATACAAAACGAACAAAATATTTTATCAACTAGTTCATGAGGTGCAGCATATAATATAGGTATGTTTTATTCTTGTTTTATGTATTAAAACTTTTATGATATATTTTATTCTGTTAATATAACTGTCATAAATTATTATTTTTTAACATTTACATATCAAAAGGAATTAACCAAATCCCAAGGGGGAGGGGTGCGTTCACTCCTTCCCACCATAATCCAATCCGCTAAAACCAAAACTGTCGCATCGTCAACTCGATAAACTCGAATCGTAATGACACGTTGAAAAATTGTGACATAGAATAAGCTGCCTGCAAAGTACAAACGGTTCGTTCCTACCAATTTTATTTATCCCGTTATCCTCGACATTTCTGCAGAAGTTATAAGTAATATTTGTTTTTCATTCTGCACAGGGACGTTAAAAAAGTTAAAGGGGTTTAACCCGTGAGGCTTACACCAAAAGAATTGCAGAGAAGCCAAAGCGCACTAAATAAATGTCATATTGCTGTATTAATGATTAACTATATACTATAGGGTGCAACTGAACATTTTTATCATAACATTAATCAATATTGCAATTATTACTATTTTACTTCTTTACGACTTAAATACATTAAATTTCAAGTTCCTACAAAGACGAATTATAGTGTACCTATTTAATATATAACGAGCAAAAAAATTAAGCTATAATCTGATTCATTAAAGAAACGATCAAACTTGTGCGACTGAGCGTAAAAAAAATGTTTAAAAACAAAAAATTACAAATGTCATAATACACATATATTATTATCATAAGAAAATTTATATTACTTAAATAGTATAACATACGAATTAAAATATATTACGAAACGAAATTCCCCGCTGGGGATGACGCGGAGACTGCAACGATGGAGACTCCATCTACATAAGCACACACACATATACAGGTACATAAAATATAATACAAATATGTATTTAATAATAATAATAATAGTAATATTATAAATGTAATATAGCCACCTCTCATAATCGTTTCCCACTGGAAACTCTGCCGCCGCCGTTACTATAATGCAGCATTAACGTCCGTCCGATTGACATCCTCCTCGACTCCCGTGTATATGACGTGAAGTCTTTGTACAATAACATCTCTTCGTGTGTGTGTGTGTGTGTGTGTGTGTGTTCAGAGAACAACGAACGACAATAATATTGTAATGTATATAATATTATTATTATAACGTAAACGCGGTATATAGCTGGTATATTATTATATACGGTGTGCGCGCCGTGTTTTACACGCACGTCGGATAAACGGCGGGACCCCCCGACGGGAGCAGCTCACGGAATTACTTTCGAAAAACATACACACACACCTATATAGATAATAATAATATTGTAATGCGCGAGTCCATTGTTATGTTCAGGCCCTATTTTTATGTGCACCACGACACACAATGTGCACTACGAATATACAAGTGTGCACTACGATTTGAACGTGTGTGCACTACGGTCTAAAAAACAAAATTGCCAAGTCAGGGATCGGCATGTAAACTTTCTTGATTTTGAATTTATAGAAATTTGTTAACTGATTTAATCACACGGTATAACAATATGAATCCAGAAAAATGTTGGCGTGAACAGCCCCACAAAAAATCATTTTCATTTTCATTTAGTGAGATAGATCTCCGAAACCGGAGAGCGGATTTCGTTGTTTTTGGTCTTGTTAGATTCACATTGGTTAGGAAAAGTGCAGTGAAGATTTGCAGAACTTTATCTTTAATAATTAATTCACTACAGAACATAAAAAAAATAAAACAGATTTTATTGGGTGTTTTTTGATGTTTTTCATCTCTACAGCTTTGTAATGAATTAACGATTGGAGATATAGTTCTGAAAATCTTCACTGCAATTCTCTAAGCAAATGTGAATTTAACAAGACCCCAAACAACAAAATCCGTTCTCCAGTTTCGGAGATCTACCTCGCTAAATGAAAATCTAGAGAAAATAACTCTTTTTTCTTTTTTATCTGTGAAAAATTAAATAATTAAAAAAAAAATTTAATTCCACGTTTAGTTTCTACCTACCTGATAATCCCTTTTTAATGAGTTATCAACCAACTTTCTAGCTAGGTATCATAGTTTAGGAGAAAAGTTAAAAAATAGAAATTTTGGGACTGTTCACGCGAATGTTTTTATGGATTCAAATTGGGTATACCGTCTGGGTGTGATATAAAATCTCTCTTATTAATATTTTATATTAAAGCTAGCTAAATTACCCACCTATTTATCATTACTGAGTTACAATTTTACTATTTTCCTATTTAACCCAAATTCTTGAAGTTTTCAAAGTTCAGACTTTTTTCATTTCAATTACCATACTTACTTGATGAAAAATCAAGAAAGTAATATGCATTGTTATGATTTTAATTATTAAAAAGTTAAGTTAAGGTTTTTATTATTATATTATGCTATTTAATTTTTATGATTTTTATTAAAAGATAAGTATTTTGTTGTTTTATTGAATTGCATTGTTAAATTATTATATACATATAGTATATAATATATATATATGTAATATGTATTATGTAATACATTCCTTTTTCTAAGATGGTAGCGAGAATAAAATGAAATGTGCAGTCCGAAATTTTACAAATAATAGGGCCTGGTTATGTTAAACGGGCGCGAGGTTGACCGAAAAAAAAATATAAAAAAAGGCAGGTAAGTGGATGTCGCTCAGCTGTACAGTAGGTTACAAGTTGGTCATTGTTTAATGGATTGTATTAAACTTGAATTCAATGATATAATATCATTGTATAAGAAAAACGATTCTGAACGGAGACGGTTTGTCAGTCTGTATATTTTATATTGTCATAAATAATTGTTTTATATTATTTTATACTATTTCCTACCATGAACCATGGTACTGACTCATAAGTTAATGATACATGTTAATAATTTATGATATTTATATAGATAATACCTACCTATTTTTTTTTTATTTGTTGCTACGGTGATAAACAAATTGTTAGAAATTAAAATCCCATTTTAAGCGGTTTTTCGTAATTTTTCAGTACTTTTTCCCGTGGCATTAAATAACTATTGAGAAAATCGAAAAATGATCTCTCTAAAGTACCATCTTGGTCCAATTTGCTAAAAGATAAGGTACTATATGTTGAAATCAAAGCACTCCTTCTGGTAGAAATGTTGTATACAGGATATAAAAAAAATAAAAAAATAAACACAATTGTAAAACCACTAGCTTCCTTGCTCCGCTCAGCATCTAAAATATTCAAATAATACACCAAAAGCGAGTCTATACCTATACTATATATTATATAATAGACGAATATAACTTATGCGATTGCACTGGAACCGTCCAAACGTGAGAATATAATTATATAGCAATATTATTATCATATCGTGTGAGAGCGTTTTGTCACGTGGTGTCCCGCGAGGGAGGGTCTTGCAAACGGAAGACGATCGATTATAGTCAGTCAATTTTCGTGCTCATTTTTGTTTCGATAAAATGTGTACGGGCTTAAGCGTCTACTTATGTAGGTACTTTTAAGGCATGCGACAACTCTGTAATACTTTAAATTTTAGTTAATCCACGTATTTTACCGTTTAAGATTTTAAACTTTTTATAAATTTAATTTTAAACGATCAGCATAGCGACAACAGTATTATATCAGTTGAAGTACCTACGTATATAATGCAATACGGCTGCTGTGCGGCCAACAGATATAGCAGATAAGTAAGAAAAAACACTTTGAGTCACTGAATGGAGGACTGGATCTGAAAGCAAGACCTGCTGATGGGGAAAGCCGGAGAATTGGATGTGTGACGGGATGATAATATGGTCTCGACGGCCGACAAACCCCAAGAAGAATAAGATAATATATAAATAGGTAGGTTTAGGTGTAAAGTGTGATTGGTATATTGGTATTCGACTGTGTGCGTGTTGGGCAATTTTTTCTTTTTCATTATTATACAGTCAAATTATCGAGATGTTTTTCCCGAAAATTGCAAAAAAACTCATTAATATGAAGAAAACTATACACGTTAAGTACGGAGCAGTGAGTAAACGAAACTCGAAATCGTGTAAGTCTAATCGTTTATAATATAAGTAAATTAATTATTGGATTTTTATATAATAACTAGCTGCTGATCCCGTGCACTTCGTTAAATGTATCAACTCTATATGACTCAAACTTTGTTCAATTCGTTATTTAATATTCCGTGTACGGTGTTCAAAATTTATCTTATCTTTTCCGTCGCCGGAATAAAAATTCTGAATCGCAGCAGTAAATTATCAGGTAGAGGCAATCTACTTGCGGTAGATCGCTGACTGTACGTTTAAGTGTATGATTTAACTCTTAAGTATCAAAATTCAAAGTTATACCAAGTTTATCGTTTTTACTTAATTCCACCTACGGTTGATTAAAATACTCAATTTATTTAATCCAATTAAATATAATTTATATTTAAAAAGTAAAGCAAATATTTTTATTTCTTTTTTTATTATTATTATTATAATAGTTTAAAAACCAGTGGAAACCATTTATAAACAAAAATGTCCATCTGAAATCTCAAAACTCCCGTTTGAGCACCTCCCGGGGTCGGTCCTCTCCCTTTTTAAATCAGCCTATGTTTTAAGTTAGACCAAAATACACACAGTATAAACATTTCATCAAGATCGGTCCAGCAGTTTTTACGCGAAACAGTAACAAAGTCACAAACTTTCGCGTTTCTAATATTAGTAGGATATTGTTTGGATTCTATTTATTTTTTCGCTTTCATCTATATAGGTATACACCGGAGCGGACCGTTTTGTGGGCCACGAAATCATTACATATGTCTTACAATAAATTTACATAATATTATTAATATTATTATTTTCAAAAAAAAATTCTGGGAAAAAAACGGTTTTTTTCAGAATTTTTCTGGACATTTTCCGGCATTTTGATCCATGGTAACAGCTATATACTTTCTAATTTTGCTCATAATATTATTTCACGAAACACCACAGAGCCCCTTGAAGCGTCCTTATCGTATTTTTCATATAACTTGTGGAAAGTGTTCAGCACCAAAGAAGTCATTAAGATTAAATAAAAATTAATTAACTAATTCCATGTAAAAATTCAATGTAAAAAATTAATGAATTAATTTTTAGAATACATTTTATTCAAGTATTTTAGAATATAATATAGATTATAGATAGATAAATCAATAAATATAATAAATATACATATTTACCAATTTGATGATAATATTAAATAAATTATTTTCGAGTTTGCAATTATGATATTTTTTTTTGGGGTCATTAAAAAGTTAAATTTACAATTTTAAGGTCACGTTTATAAAAGGTTGGGAAGAGTTTTTAAATCTTTATGAACAATTGAAGATTGTTTATTTAAAAGTTCACTTCTAATCAACTTTAAAGGTTGAGTTGATAGTGACTCTTCAGCACGTCTTTTACAATTTTCACGTAATACTTGCCTTTCTAATTTATTAGGTGAATTTCCTTTATGTTTATGTTGTCCACTTGATTTAATAACGATATTTTTATCTGGTCCAGAATAAATCATAGCTGTACAATTATTTTTTGTGCATCGCCATTTTAATAACTCGCCTTTTTTAATCGATCCAATAAATCTATACTTAAAAGTACCAACATTGGCTAATTCTTTTCCTCTCTTGGATAAAATAACTTTAATTTCACAATTGTCCATCGCGTTCTACGTATATAAAAAAAGTTATCTAAAATAAAACGGTGTAACGTACTAACGCTTAACGACGAACGACCACTAACCACTAACGCCTGATAGTATTGAGTCTAAGTTACTTATATTTTGGCAATACAAAAGCCCACTTCTATATGACTAATATATATATAGATAACAAATACCTATATCCAATCTTACAGTCGTACAGATAATCTTAATTGGCGTAATCGACAATGCATGAGTGTACCTATTTCGACGATTATGTCGATCCTAATTTCCTACACGACTCGTATATTATTTATCGATTATACTCGTGCCGCTTTCAAAAGATGGGAAACCACGATTGAAAATAATCACCATTCTATGTTAAATACCTCCCATACGACTAGTAAAGCACAAAGATTGACAAATATTCCCACCGGCTTTATATATAGGTAATAGTATTTCAAAATACGAGTGTAGCCTAGCTGGTTGTAGTCGGACAGAAAAATTGGCAACGTTGCATTCATTTGACTGTGCTCAATCGGGTTGTTAAAAAATATGGATCGTGCTCAATCGGGTTGTTTCAAAATAGGGACCGTGCTCAATCGTGTTTCACCGATTCAGATTTACCCTCTCCGTATTCTCGGAAGTTGTTACAATACGTTAGGGACTATTTGGTTTTTTTTATTAAATGTCCCCGTTCGAAAACTATCTACCCACCTCATAATTGTTTTCCCATTGAGAACAGCACCACCACGACTGAAACTGAAGTTAAGTCAGAATGCGCGCTGCACCTTAACTACCGATTCATTTTTTTTTTTCACAAACGCGTCGTACGCAAACACACGGTGAACGAAACTTCACTACTCTATAATGACAACGAAATGGCATTATCTGACGGATCGAATGAGCTTATCCAGGAATTCCTACTCACATTCAACGTTGAGAAAAACCCGTCTATTTTGTCCCTATTATCCGTACATCCAAATACATAATAAAAATAATAAAACAATTTTTACCACTAAGATTGGAATCGTCTGTTAGATTCTGAATGGAGAGATGAATGTATTGATTTTACAATGTTTTTTTTATTCTTTTAATATTTCACCTATATTAGACAAAATAACAGAGTCTACCTTTTTAGTTTTGTGTCTTAGACATTCTTTAGTCTTACCTAGGTATCATGAAAAATATTATTCACCATTTTTTTAATTACTACATTTTTAAGAAGTATTGGTTAATGGTTATACTCAGGGTCAGATTTAGGAATTTCACAGCTTGGTACGATATTAAATTATTATTACAATAACAAATGGTAAAATTTTGCACAAAAAATCACATGCCTTAACCCGACCATGGTTGTACTAATAGGTACTGTACTTAACTGTCTAATATACTTATAATCTAATTTATTTTAATATTTCAATTTGAAAAAAAGTCTAATTCAATAAAATACATATATATTCAAATACCATTTATTATAATATTATACAATCATTTTAAATGTGCTCAATGGTTTTGGTTCTACATCAATTGTTTGAAACATTCACTGATAGAGCACAAATTATATCATGCATAGTAACATAAAAAAAATACTTATAAGTTAAGTCTGGGTCTAAAAATTACTTAAATTGTAAATTTAACTTAAAATACGAATCACGTCAGATATAAAAAAAAAAGGAAAATAGGTTTTTCAAAAGAGAGACAATGAAACACTGCAAGACTTACAGTTGAATATGAAAAATAATGAGGGATCTAAAGAACACAACGTATTTGAAAGGGTTGAAAAAATGTAATTTTACACACACCCAACTGCAGCAGCTGCTGCCGCGGTGGTACTCTTTTTCTTCAAAACTATGTCCTTGATGTTCAGGTGTACCTTTTCTTTGCGCTGTGGAGGCACTGACTGCAAGCAAAACCGCTTAAATTCTTCTAATTCTCGTTCATCATCATCCATTTCCCCATCCTCCGGGTCTATGTCTTTTGGCTCGAACACGCTTTCTGCAAACGGCCACAAACACACTCATTTTTGGAGATTTACTTTCTCGATCTTAATTATATATATAAGCCTACAATTTGTTATATTTAATGAGTCTTGCTGTTTTATAAGTTAGATTTATATTGTAAAAAAGTTGTAGTTGTGCTCGTATCATACATTCATGATATGAATCCTATAAATTTAGTTTATCTGTTACAAGTTTCGCAAAAAGGATAATACCATTGGCAGGAACAGAAAGAAAATGTTACATACTTTGGTTTGTACAAGCTAACGATCGAGAAAGCACGGTCCAAATTAATTTGGAATTAACTTAATAGACCCCACACAAGCAATGTGCTTTATGAAATTGTACAAAAATAATATATTTATAATAATATATAAATATCAACACGTGCGAGTGTGAAATCCAAAACCATCAAGCAAATTAAATTGTATAAAGGATTGTTTTTTTTTTAAATTTTATTTATTTATTTATTTATTTAGCTGTTAATTATTTTATAGGAAAATGCTTGTAAGTAAAAAAAAAAAGCCTACTAAGAAATAAATAGTAAGAATACTTTAAATAAATATGTATAATTGTCAACAATTATTTTCACAAAATGGATAAAAAAAACAAAAGAAAAACTCAACTCGTATCTTTGATACTAACAAAATAAAAGCAGACCTCTAGAGCTACCTAAAGAATATTGATTTTTGTTTGTTTATGTAACAATTACTAAACATAAAAAAAAAAATAAACAAAAAATGTATAAAATAAAAAACAAAATAAAATCATATTTTGAAAATTGGACTGTTATAAAAAAACTATTATTTGTGTTTATTTAAGTACAACAAAAATATAATTGTATAATTATTTTTCTGTCCAATGTTCAAACTTCAAACACTGTGAAATAAAAATATTATATATTGTCATAACTCATAGAAAAATTACACAAATCATCTAAATACAACTTTGTATATAAAAATTATTTAATTGTTTAAGCAAATCAAAACACGAGTAAAAGCAAAGAAAATATTAATTTAAAAAAAAAATAATAATAATAAAGCTGCAAAAACAAGCATGCAACAAGTTTGAATCTTAACTATCTGGGCTAAAACTGCCATCACCATAAAAAAGCAGCCTATTTCAAGTATAAAGTATTTACATTTCATTGGACGTATAATTTGTACTCTTTGTTCAAAACTTAAAATAATATAGGTATTTATCACATAAATGAGGTAGATATTATACAAAATTATAGTAGGTGTTTATTCTTAGTATTAAATAATTTAGTTATTAGTGGACATTCTATTTTATCAATTGTAACAGTTATGTATTAATTTAGTGAATACACTATAATGCTAATAATATTTTCAGTTAAAGCATTGAAGCATTATTGATGGATATTTTTATTGAATCGAAAAGGTTTTTTTTTTAAATTTAAACATTGTAAACACAATATTTTAACAAACTATAATTATAATACATTCATCACATAGATCGGAATTTGAAAAATAATTGTCTTATATTATTATTATGGTATCAGTTTCATATTTACTGTTTAGTGTTTCAAATATTTTGTATTTATTTTATAATTGAACTGTCTATACAAAATAATTCACATGGGTAGCAAATAAATTATGTACGAAAAATGTTTTATTAACATTCAAAAGGGTTTGTACATTTTTCACGAGAAAACTTTTTATGAAAAATTTAACATGAAAATTTACTGCTGTAAATTATATAATACACTAGGTTAATTACTGATGTCTTATAGAATTTAAACCATAAGTTAATAATACGAAATAATAATTCAAATTATGAATAATAATAAAAAAAAAAAAAGTATAAAATACAGTGTCAGATCTATTGAAAAAATAAGCTATAGAAAATTTTTAACTGTTGATATTAAATAATATTTTTAATAACATGTGTATTTCAATTATTATAATAATTGTATAGATAGAATGAACTTCTCATGAATTTAAAAATTTTAAATTTTAACAACTAATATAAATAGTATTTTAATAAGTACTTTAGTGCTCAGAATTTTAAAAGAATTATTACTTTAAAATTTCTATTGTCGTTTTATATAATTGTTGTAATTTAAAAGTTAAGAAATAACATAAATACATTTCTTTACAAAATAGGTTAAAAAAATATTTTGGGTGATAATTCTGTTTTATACAAGTGTAATTTACTTTGTAGTCATATTAATAAAATTTAAAAAAAAAAAGCTAGTTGCTATATATTACAACATAGGAAAAAAATATGATTAAAGGATTTTTCATTTACAGGAAATTAGGGAGGACATCAGCAAAGCTCACCCTCAACATCCGTTTGTTTGGAGCCGCCCTTAACCCGACGGCGACGACGTCTTCGCTTACCAGACGGATTAGCGTTGACGTCATCGCCACTGTTAACTTGTAAGTCTTTATTTTCTGTCAGAATGGCATCATCATTGCGCTGGTACAGTGGATTTCTTATAGTAACCATACCACCATGCCTTTGAATAATCACTGGCAACGGCATAGTTCGTGGTGTGTTAGTTGGTATTTGTCCAGCGATGGTCTTACCTTCTGTACTACATGGTTCTCTTGTTGATGATTTGTTAGTAATTGTAAAACCTGGTTGAATATTTTCTGAGTTTGTGTCATCTAAACTACCATCATTGATTTTCTTACGACGTCTATGACGTTTACTTGCTGTACCACTCCATTCTATAAGTAAAGTTAGGTTTTATATAAAAGCGGTAATTAATTAAAAAGCTAAACATTTATGTAATGTTTTGTATTATTATTCATTATTCAATCAATATTATTTTCTATTTTGGAGCAAATAACAGATTTAAAAAAGTAAACTATGAAACAAAAATAAGTAAATAATAGAAAATATTTTTTAAATTATACATTTGTACACTTGTTAAATAAACACTATACATTGGTGAAAACCGAAACTATAAATTTTGAATTTCATCTAAAAACAACCAAGTATCATGGAAGTACATCATTATCGTTGATCTATCAATCCATCATTTTAATAATA